GAACACGACAAGTGTCCAAAGCTTCCCCAGATCATCCACCACTTGTTACAGACTTTCTGATTTGGAGACTACCTGTGCAGCCCTGTGTTTTATGGTCTAATATACTGGGTTAAGGTGGTTCTATTTTCACCCTCCCAATCTGCTTGTTCATTATTCAGCCCAAAGTAGGTGTTACTAGCCCTTCAGTTGCTATAATATAACTATTTGCGGGATCATACTCTGAGATCTGTGAAACATTTCAGACTGTAAACAGCTCCCATGGCAGTTCTTGCAGATAATGAAGGACAGCCTGCGTGCTCATGCTAACAGTCAGGTAACGTGGTGGTACACCTCAAGGTCCCAATATTCCTTAGATACCATGACTGGAAATTCAAGGCTATATATAGCTATGAAAAGCTATATAGCTATGAAAAGATAGCATTGAAAGACTTGAGTAAAGCCAAAACGTCACTCAAAATTCAGGCAATACTTGTTGTTGGAGATGTCACAGTCATTATGGCATTGCACTAAACCAACGCCATTAAAAAAAAACAAAAGGAGCTTTCTGTCTGTGTCACATTTTCCACACCTGGGTGGATTTAAACATGAATATATTGCTTTTCTCTTTATCCCTTGGCCCTCTTCTTGGATGGACCTCCCCTGTTTGAAGATCCTACATTGCAGATTTCCAAAATGTCTCTAGAGTTTCAATCTACACCATTATAACTACTATAAACACCCCAGTCTCATATTGTCTCCAAACCAAGGTTTTCTGATGTTTCCTGTGCATGTTTAATAGTTCTGGCACAATGTCCAATATAATTTGCCTTTAGCACTTCTAAGAAAATATTCAGTAGTGTACTTAACACCTCTGTGAGCATCTGCTGGAAAGTCATGACTCCACAAGTCAGAAATGTATATTTTTGCAGGTCTTACTACAACATTTTTGGATTACCTGTGGTTCCTTGTCATGTTGGCTAGGATCCTTCTCATAACTCTCTGCATAGATCCGGAGGGTAGCTCGCACGTGGCTAGAAGCACTCATCCTGAAGATGAGCCTGGAAGCGTCCGAAAAAACAATCCGCAAGCCCTACAGGGGAAAAAGAGAAAAAGAGCAGCACCTTTAGAAACCTCCATTTATTGCTCTAAAAAAAAAAGAAGAAGAAGAAAAGTGCAAGGAAGAGCGATTTGAATTCAGTTCTTCTTTTGTGACTTACTGCCCTTACTTCACTTCTGAAGAATAGAAACAGTCTCCTATTTTCTGTCCCTCTCCTCGTAACAAGAACTTTCTTGGAGAACTTGAACAAGAACTGGTTTTTCTGTTCTAGTTGCTTTGCTCTGTTCTGATTCCCTGAGACTTCAAAAAATTCTGTAGTACTACTCAGGAAAATTAACTTACAGTGTTAATTTAAAGCATAGTAATTAATGCACATTAAGATGCATGTAGAATTAAAAAAGTTTTATTTTTCATCCACCGTGAATGTGCTCTTTGCCTCCATCTTAATTGCCTTTTTCTCTTCTCTTTTCCCTTTTCCTTCCCTATATATGTACATTTCCTTCCACAGGTCAAATGCTAGGATCCAGTGTCAACAGACAGTCTGTGCATAAAGGCTGTAGAGCGGCAAGGTCAGACGGATGAACTTGTTCCTACTAAAGCCAAAGATCTAAGTTCCATCATTAACTAGTTGCAGCGCTTTAATTCCCTCCCTATTCTACACTCACGTCGAATCTAGTTCCTTTCCTGTAAATATTAGGCTACGTGCCACCTCTGCCATACCACTAAACTTTATTTCCCTGTTGAGTTCTGATGCTGGCAAGTGGCTAGTGCATGAGCAGAGACTGTTGCTTTTTTGTCTGAGGGGCTAGAAGCAATTCAAAAACAACGAGGATTAAAGAGAGAAGCATTTTATTTTTCATTTTCTATCTGCAGCTGCCTAGGAAGACACTGATGTCGGCATTATAGCTCTCTAACATGATAAAACAAGAACACAAAACTTTGTTTCATCAGGTATGTGCTCAAACAGTTTTAGCACCATATAAAGAATTGTTTGGTTGATATTGCCCACTAATGCAAGAAAATGCATAACAGAAAAATATCCCACATGGGTAAAAGACTGGATTAGCTGACCCAAGAGATATGGTCCTTCTCTAAATTTAGTGATTCCATAAATTGGTTTTAGCTGCTAGTATAACAATATATATTGCTTTTTAATATTACTCAATGCAATGGATTTTTTTATTATTATATCAGTGCAATTTCAATGCAACACTAATCCATCTAATATTCTCCGAGATTTAGAGCTTGTTTTTCTAATAGTTTGAGAACTTTCTCTTTCAGATAGTTGTAACTAAGCCAACGTTTTGAGTTCTGAGATAAAATCTTTGCTCCAGAAATGTCAGCGGGAGTTTCCCAGTTGACTTCAAAAGAACTGAGATTTCCTCAGAGATTTTTAGAAGTACATGCTCCATATGCTATGGTCTGGTGCGGTCAGCAATGGGTTGTCTCTCTGTGATGACCAGTTATTCTTAACTTTATGACAGTGAGGAAAAAGAGAATAAAAGCAAGGATTTTTGCAATTTTGTCATGGTTTGTTTTGAATGGTTAACTCACCTAGGATCAATTGCTCAAAGTACGTAACGTTAATATCAATCAAAGGAAGGAAGGGAGTCTAACATATTTGCACAAAACAAATACAATGAACCACAAACATCAAAGCATGTGCATATCTTTCCTTCCAGTGCTTATCGGGGCATTTTGCATACTCCAGCTAGCTCTAGTAATACCCACAATGACATGATCAGCTGCCTTAGCACATGGGATTCTGTAATCTAACCACTCGTTAAATCATGGTCTTCAGAAATAAAGTGTTATAAACACTTCATTCTTTTCCACTATATTATGTCAAAATGCTCCACCAAACTAGAACATCTCTAGACCATTCGATGCTGAAATTCATAGTACCTGGGATTCTTATACAACATACATACATGCACAATGAGTATTCAGTCATTATTTCTCTGTGTACTATTTTTCAACTCTTTATTTCCTTCATTCTACATTTCTCAGACACCAATGCCTGACAATATTAATTTTTACAACGGGGTGATGACAGCTGATATTTGTCTATAGGACTAGGATTCCCGCCATGCAGCTCAGAATACTCCAGAAAGGGGAGTGGATGTTCTCCCTATAAACAGTAATCCTAAACGCCAGGGAAAAGTCACGTACTAGGGAAACAGCAGCCTTTAGGGCCAGATTGTCAAAGCTGGCTTTAGAGTCAAGACATTTGCAACCTGGAAACCTGGAACTAATTATTAAGAGAGTTCAACAACAAAAACCTGACTTCAGAATCTCCTTTTGTGAACAATCACGCTGATTTCAGAACTAACAAAGATTTTAATTCAGGAAGAGCACAGAAACTGAGAGTTCTTAATTTTTTATTTTTATTTGTCTCCACCATTTTCTGGACCTTACAGCAAAAGTCATGAGTTAATAACATTTCTCAAAAACAAAAGAGAAGCAAACAAAAAACCCCATTGTTTCTGAATAAAGATAAAGCACTATCTCAAGAACAAGTTCCGGCACTGCCTCTTCTGGAAAAAATAGTTTTTCCCCAGTTTTTACAGAATATTCATTTTAACATACATAGGATTCCTTTTTGACATTTTTGAGCCTTAGTGATCAACATAACTGAAACAAGCTGGTGAAACTGCAAGTAACCGAAATATGTGTGTGATCTGATGCATTTTTCACCTGACATAGCCCAGTTTAATGCCCCATACATTACATTATTAATAAGTTATAGATGCATGAGTCTGCCCCGGATTATATCCAGAATTTATAAACTAACTTAGAAGGAAAAGAAAGAGAGGAATATGCTGAAAAGCCAATGGGAAGGAGTAACATTCAGTCATGAAAGAGCATATGATTATTGCTGACAAGAACAACATTATCTTACAGGAACTGATAATTCATCTTTTCTGGAAGGAAGTAAACGAAAGTAGATGAGTACAGTGTGTACAGATGTTTGTATCCAACATCTGTGGATACTTATTTCAGTCAAATTTGGCCTGCTAATGGATATTAATGAGTTATGTGGAAAATCTGAAACAAAATCATGTCCCATGGTCAATCCACTGTCTTTGAAGCTGATGTAGTAGAGACAAGTTTTATAGGGATTCCTCCCTTTTACATTAAAATTAGTCAAACAGACCACTCATTTGCCAGTATTTATGAAGCACTCAAAAAAAGAAAGAAAGAAAAAACCTGCTACATATTCTACAATGTTTCGTTTTCAATGCTTTGGTGGAAATTTTGGTTTACAATCTCATAATTAAAGAAAGTTGAAGCTTGTCAGCTCCAGGTTGGAAATGACATTGTAAAAAATGTGTTGAAAAGTTGTAAAACTTTGTTACCCCGTCACCACACTCCTACCTGTCTTTTGGTCACAGTGCCATCCACAGGATCCATGTACTCAAAGCTGTCTGTTCTTTCCACACTGTAGATATTGCTACCCACAGCAAACTGCTGATTGCTGAATGACTTGTCAGTGATCAAAGCTTCCAGGTCTCTCATTATGAAATAGGCAGTTCTGGGTTCCAAGCCTTCATAATCAAACCTTGCATTAAAAAAAAAAAAAAAAAAAAAAAAGTAGAAGCAAGAAATAAGTCCTGTTGAAAAAAAAATCTGTTCTCACAAAACTCAATATATTTGGAATTAGTGGTTTACTGCTTGACTTACTTAAAAAAAACAGGGAGGGCTATTGAAATACCCACTGGAAATTAACCCAGCTGAACATGAACTGAGTCCCATGCAACCTGCCTGTGTGTGCAGAACTGCTCAGCACTAGCCACCTGACTGAGTCAGCAGAAGCCATTTAGAAAACGCATGGTTTCCAAAGCACAGGAAACATCACTGTAGCCTTTTGAGCTGCAGGACACAGTCAAGGCAATTCTCAATAGCCAAGGGAAAAAAAACTCAGCTAAGAATGCTGTATGAAAATGGGATGGATATATAACCTGCACTGGATGAAGTATATTTTGAGGGAGGAAGGAAGTGAGGAAGAAAGAAAGAGAGGCAGAAGCGATGCAGAAGCCAAAATAACATCTGTGTCATGTAAATGCCTATGAGAATTCTCCCTTTTGAGATCCTACTAAAAATGAGTCAATGTCTAGATATCAAGGGTCTTCTAAGCTAAAAGATGGCATATTTCCAGTTATGACTAAAACTGTATTGTCAAATGGAAGCACATACACAAAGAAATGCATGACTAAATCTTGCTAAGATGTTGATTTGTTGTTTCTACACTATGTAAACACTACCTGTATTGATTCCACATGTAAATAATTCCATACATCCCATTTGGAGTCAGCAAAATCAGTTACTCATGTATTGAAATAATAATAAACACACTGTTCCTTTGTTAAGTAAATACCTTTTGCTGACACCTAATCTTTGGATAAAACTGTCTGCAGAACAGTGGCAGTTGTGGCAGAATTTTGTGGCACAGTTGGACAGACCAAACACACACCTAAGTGCAGCTGAGCTCAGCTAATCAAACCACAGTTGCAGAGGACTAGCACTAGTGCCTGCACAAGCTCCTGTTTCATTTTGTCGTGTTTCTCACCTGCAATAGTAGTGCCGGCCAAATTTTGCCCAGTGATCCCTGACAATCTCCTCCACGCTCTGCTTTCGAGCTGCTAGAATTGAAAGCCAAACTAGCACAGCCCACAGTCCATCTTTCTCTCGAAGGTGGTCGGACCCTAAGGAGATAAAAGTAAAGCACGTTATTTGGTATTGCTGCAATCAAGCAAACTAGGCCAGGAGGCTTCGTGAAGTGTTTGTTTAATGGTGCGTGTTGGCACTGGAGGGAAGTGGTAGAGTGGGAAAACATTTTAACCATGACTCCTGCTCACTGGCATACAGGGTGTTTTCACATATCTAGTAGTGTTTCCCAGAACTGGGTCAGATATGCAAACCCTTGGTCTTGAACCAGAATGCTCTGAGTTATGTGGGAGAAGCTCAACAACATCTCCTTATCTCGACAAATGCTCATCTGTCAGGCTGAGGGGAAACAATTTTCTCACTCTGTGAAAGATGAAGATTTACAAAATATTCATGAGCTCTCATCATAGTAAGAACCAAGAGTCCGAAAAATGTTCCTCAGGAAAAAAAAAAAAATCCACACCAGAAAACAGTACTCCCCCACTTCAGTATTTCTCCGTATCACTCACTGATAGAGATGCTTGAATGCTCAGATCTAAATCCCTTCCCAAGTTTATATTCATGAAAAGAGAAGATGATCCAGCAGTGGTTACTGAGAACACTTCAGGAGTACCCATACTCTCTAGGATGTATTTTGGATATGGGAAGCACAGGTTCACACAAATGCAAAGAGCACAGACTTGAACCTGCAAAATCTGGAGCAATGCTCTGATAGAAACATGTAACATATCTGGACCAGCTTCCATGAAGCTCTGCCAGCTAATATTGGAGTGCGCAAGTAAGTCAGCAAAAAGTTTCAATGAAATCAGTATTTTCTAACAAAAGACTATTTTATGGCAAGATTCTTGGATGCCTCATTAACTGCCCTCTTCCTTGGGTTAATTCAGAACAAACTTTTGTGGAAATCTGTATCCAAATCTCAGTATCCCATAATCACAAGAAATCCGTATTTAAATCACAGTACCCCATAATCACAGGGAAACATTAATTCCTGAAAATTAACACAGTAAGGTCTAAGTTACCCGACACTTCAGTAGATACTGAAGATGAGTACAGTCTGATTCTAACAGACTCAAGAAACTTGACTGGACAAGTCAAATCTGGAGCTATTACCAAGGCATAATGCCAGATTTGGTTGGAGTCTTAGCTGAACCATTTTCTTTTTCTGCCTAGTCTCACGTTATCGAAATCTGTGCAAGAAAGTACAACAAATTCACAAGTACCTCCTGACTAACTTGAAGTCCCTTGGACAATATGTGTACTGGAAGAGACTTAGTGATCTCCTTGGGACAAGAGTGGTCCTCTCCGGCCTACAGCAAAGGCCTGGCCTTTAGGAGCTGCTCTTGCAGCAGCAGCTCTCTGCATTCCCTCTCCAGAGTCTCCAGCATGGAGCGCCAACCAACAGAATAAAAAGGGCAGGGTTATTTGTGAGCTATCAGGGCTCTGCAGTAACTCCAGATAAGGAAGGAAAGCAAAATGCCACTCCACAGGAAGTCAGCCCTTCAAACCATCAGCTCCTCACCTTTTCTGCTCCCCCTTTATGGTAACTGGCTGCTGAAGGAATCCTTCCATAGGCATTCTGCTGGGAATGAGGCCTGCAGATGCTAAGGTCAGCTTTACAGAGCAGACAGCATGGTCCCGACTGCTTTACCATGGCCAAAAAGGTCTGTTTGCACTTTGCAAGTGCTAAACCAGAGAGTGCTAAACCAGCCCATAGCTCCAGCTTCCCACGCACATCCATCGCTCCTCTGGCAGCAGCATCACTCCTCTGGGCACCATAAGGGCCAGTATCGGTGGTGGCTCCTGGTGGCTTCTGCTGCGCTGCAAGTTTGTCCCACCATGGCTCCTCCTTGCTCTCTTAATCTCCCTAGACATTCATTCCAAGAACTGAAAATTTCAGTTTCATCAAAGTCTTGAAACCACCTCTGCTCGCTGATATTACCAGAAACTTCAGCTGCTTAAGTCTGAACAGATACTTGCAGTAAGTGGAGATACAGCATGGAGCTAAGTATCTCAGCAGCCTGTTCCAGTGCAAGTAGTGATTTATTCTGTTGTGTAACACTCTGTAGACTGCAAGCCATCAAACCATTCTGTGAAAGGCCCAGCATTCATTCAGCAAAATGGTCTATACATCATGTTAGCTGTGCAAAGGTCTGGGCTAAACACGGAAGAAGAGATGCACTTTGATTTAGCAAACACTTCAAGTATGTTTTATTGAACCTAAATGGTCCGGTGAAACATGGGCAGGAGGAATTTTTGGAATGGCCTCTGTTGTGCTCCAAGCCCTGTGCTGGCACGATTGAAGCTCATAAATCTCCACGAAGAGGGGCGAGTGTATACATGTACCATTCTTCTGATCCCTTTAGCAGCTTTGGCATGTGCTAGGTCCTTGTACGTCCCTCAGGACGACAAACTGATTGTTGCTTTTGTGGAAGAAGAAAACACCGGATGAAAGCAATCCAGAGGCAAAAACCTGGATGCAAATACAACAGGCCCAGAATGAACAACCACTGCTTAAAAACGCTACTTCTTTCGTCATACAGCAACTACAAACCCGTGTGGATAAGAAGTGTCCGTGTTAAGTTCTTACTAGGTGGAAACTTGACAACTGGAAGTTCTCAGGGCTTGTTTATTCCCTCCCTTTTGTTTCGCCAGCATATCTGTTAGCTGGGTTGCTACTCTAACGTGCATTATTTCTATTGCCTTTATTTCTTCTAGCGCACTAAAACGCTTTACCAAAACTCTGCTTTTTAGCTACTTTATCTTTTGCCTGCAGGCGCCTTTGCTCACTCTCTTTCTCACTTACTCCTACTGCTGAGCTCAGATACCTTTAAATATTTCGGATGAATCTAGCTAGAATACCTCAGGTCAGCTAATAATATATTTATTTGGTCCAGCATCTATAGCCAGGGATCAAAAGCAGCAGAACTGGTTTCTGAAAAGTGTTTAAATAAAAGCTGCTTTGCAACTATGCATTCCTAACTGGCACTGACTGTATCTTGCTGCAGGCCCTCAACAACCCCAGCACCAATCCTCAGATCTCAAGGGTACTTTTTCCTCAGGCATCCAAATATTAGTGACTTCTGATCGCTGTTTAAGGAGCTGAGGCAGGAAGAGGGAACAGACGATTGGAATCAACACGCCACTTTCTGATTATCCTATATTTGTATTTAATTTACTTTTGATGGGGGAAATTACAATAATAGCTACTACTTTGACAGCTTGTTTTTAGGGTAACCTGTCACACATTGCCTGTTAAAACTGTAGCCAAAGTTACTTTTAACTACTGCAACCATCAATTGCTATGGCCACGCTCAGAGTAAACAATCTGGGAAAAAATGACATAACATGTTCCCATTCATAAATATGTACTCAATTTAAACAGGCTTAAACTGAAGTCTTGAGAATCAGTAGTCCAAGAAAGAAAGAAAGCCCATGCAAAAATATTCTTATTATCATTTTTCCTGCTATTGTAAAGCTGTGGGACTCATAGGCAATCTATGCGTGTAGAAAATAAATTGTTTTCCCCTGAACCGGTCAATTCTCTCTGGCGTGTTACATTCTGTTAATGCGATTTCTGAATACAAAAACCAGTATTAAGTATGCAGGCTCAGGCTTTTTTTGTGAACACTGTTCACATCTTCTAAGTCCATCTTCCAGAAATTTGAATCTTCTTGATGTTTTTGGCATTTTGAAGATTTGAGGGGCATATCATAAAGTAATAGTATTACTTTAGATTTGCATTACTCTGGCAGAGTTACATCTTTACGTCTCTTTACGTCTTTCATTCCTTTTAGCAGTAGAACATCTTTATGCTCTCCACTTCTTCCACATCACCTTGCAGAAGAAGGTCGCTAGTGTTACTGACATATGGAAGTTTGGGGATGAAGCATGCAAATTTATGAAGAATGCAGCAATTACCAAAGCAGCTTACACGAGGGGAAGACAAATCAACCACAGAGCTCTTTTAATTCTGATTAAGAGTTTGCTGATGAAATTTGGATTCTAATTGCTGCTGCTGATGCCCTTCTCTGACCTGTGTGCTGGGCATTACTCATAGCACCAGAAAGCTACTAACCTCATCTGACAAGCTCCCCACACTACTACAAAAATGGAATAAGTTTTTAAAGCATTGGTTCAGTTCCAAGATTAGCTGCCAGAAAACAAGTCTGGGAAACACAGCCCTATGGGATGTTTTCAGAATCTTTTTTCCTTTTATAGCAGAAAATTTGCTTTTATTTACTGCAGCAAAATCCCTTATGTTATAAAACCAGAGCTCCCTACTATATGGAAATTCCAGCAGGGCTGGATCACCTGGATATACAACCAGTCACTCTCAGTGTTGTCAGGTTAGTTTGACATTAGCATGTGGATCTCTAAAGCCCTTTTCTCTTGCACAGAACAGTAAGTTCCTAGCTCTGACCAGCTATATGGTATATTTTTTAAATATTCCGCATTGCATGCTAGAGTAATGCCAAGATTCACTTTCCTGAAGAGAGAGTATTGAGAGGAAGATGTAAAGCTGATTCCAATGCCCAGCACCAGAAGAATCTGGTCAGGATCATGCAGTTCAGGGCAGTATGAAAAGAAATGAAAAAAAAAGAGAATTATTGAATACTAAAATCAGTTCACATTACTAAAGTATTGGTCATCAGCAAACCAGCCTGCATGTTACAAATATACCTCCTGGCATATGAGATGCTCTCAGACTGCTCCATGCAACTTACAGACAATAAGGAAACTAAGGCAGGTAGAAAAACAAACTTTATGTATCACAGTTGTTGATAATTGCCTGTAAACCATATATGTTAATTTGAGCAGAACCTGTACACACTGAGAAATCTAAAACCCAGCCCTCAACTTGTCAGGATGCCCAGATGCCTGGATGCCCAGGGGCTACACATCAGTCTTTAGATGACATGAGCAAAAATGCAGGGCTGGGGCACCTTCTGCACTGCTGATGAATAAAGCAAAGCTCCTCTCACCAGGCTGGGCCAGGATGCACAGGTTAAGCAGCGCTGTAGATGCTGGCCAACCCTTGAATCAGACGGCACGCTCACAGCTGACAAGGGGCAGGATTTACCAAGAATCTGAAGGATTAAGGGTAAGAGAGGCGGAGAACCAGATCAAGACAGGATCACAGAGAAGGCTCGGAACACAGAGACGGGAGTGAGGTCAGGAGAGGGGAGCTGAAAAGTGGGAAGGGAGCCTATAGCACAACATACAGCTGCTCCAGAGCTGCACAAAAGGAGGCAAGTGAAGAGAAAACAGTCAAGGAAAGGGAGGCATAAGATACAAGAATATACAAGGGAAGGTTACAAGAATATATTGCCTATTTATTAGAGCAGGCAAGCGCAACAGCCCTTCCTTTGACCTTGGTGAGAAACCTGTCCTGTCTCCCACCTCCAACAACCATCTGCTACTCTGGGTAGAGGAAGTCAGACCAACACAGAGCAGCGACGCTCCCAGAGCTTCAGCAAGTCAGCACAGCCCTGAAAACACTTATTTTAGTTTCCATATAACTGTTTTGCCCTGCTAAAGTCCACTAATGTTTGGGGACAGTCCACTTAGCAACACCTCAACAGGGATGTCGAGTCAAGCTTTCAAGGTGACAGATAAACACCGTGTTTGCTTGGTTGTTTGTTTATAAAGGCACCATAGAGTTTTCCTGACAAATCTCTTTTAAAGCCAGGGCTCTACTAATGAACCAAAGTCTTTTTTTCCCTTCTGAAATGTGACACGCTTGCAAGAACGACACATTAGCATCACTGGATGCAGCTCTGACTCCCAAGCAGAAATAGCCTTGTGGAGGTGCTTTGTCATGGCATATGTCACATTCAGTTTACCCCTGCTTGCTGTGCAGACCTACATGGGCAAAACTGCAGGTAGAAGGAGATGGACCATGAGTGGGTCATGATACCCAGATTATTACAGTTTGTGGGAATTCAACATCAGGCTCCTTCAAGCTCCTTCGAGTCACAAATCACCTTTACCTTCTTTCAGCATTATGATGTATGCACTTTTTTTCCCAAATAATTTGGATGCTAATAAAGTCATCTTGCTATCTTGAGTTTCATGGAAATATCTATTTTATCCATAAAAAGGAGAACTTTTTAAATGGTCAGAGAGGAAGTTTGGAACAGCCCCATGGAGAAAGCATTAAAGATCCATGAGAGTCAAAAAGTCCCTGGTCCAGCCATCTCCCTAGCAAATGGGAAAAGAGAGCAAGATATGGCAGAATGTGACAACATTTATTAAAAGGTACAAGATCTTCCTGCCTCTGAAGATACCCCTTTTTACAAGCTTTTAAAAATTCTCACTCAGAAGCTCTTGGAACACTAGTTGAGAATATTTATCCAAAAGATACATATATCCATATTAACAATGCAAATCTGAGCCAAGTCCAGGCATCCAGGTTGCTAATTATGGAACTGGATTTCACATTCATAACACAAAGGAAAATAAGCATTCATTATTCATTTTAATCCTCTTTCTTCTTACAGATAGATACTCAAATCTAATGCAGTCTTGATTCTTCCATCACATAGTCACAGAAAAGTTTAGGAGAGGCTATTGCTTAACAAGGCATGTTATGACTTACAAGTTTCAGAAGGGTGTCCTCAGTTTTAAACAATCAGCCTCCAGCTCTAGCTGACCTCAACTAACTGAATATTCAACTTAATCAAAAGAACAGAAAGTTCCTACCCAAGTTTGACTATGTGATTATTTCCCTAGCAAAGCTAGAGTCAATGACTTATTCCACAAAAAAGAACTTCATGAAACTCATATCAAAATACAAAATAAGTGTGTTCCAGTAATTGTGAAGTCCAAAAAAGGAATGCTTGGAACAAGTTTATTTAGACATATCAATTCTGCTGTCTGCGATGAAAGACCATTACAGCGAGATCAGTGGGACCTTCCGCATTCAAGTCAGAAGAGTATGACATGCAAGACCAAAAGCTGTCTAGACAGTAACAATGTGGCCTTGGGCTCCTGAATTTCCTTACATTTTCCAAACCTCTACATATGTAGACACCAAGGTTTGAAGTGGACTCTCAAGACATAAGTAACTGACAGTCCTTTGCTCAACTACAAAATAGAGTTAATTTGCTGATTCTTTTGGTTCTGACTTTAGGCACTCAAGAAAATGTCCGTAAAAGTCTGTGGAAAATTTTCACTAGGGTTTGCTTACCAGTGCCAAAGCTTTCCTCTCCACAAAGTGAGCAACGTCCAGAGTCCATGAGATTGGAAAAATATCTCCATCCTGTTGGTGTTTCATACACAGGAACTTTCATTACTTTAGCCACTCTAGAAAAGACACAATAAAAACATCACACAATTTAAAGAGTGATTTTATTTATTTATTTATTTTGCACGGGTTTGAGATCTGCTGAGTGCTATATTAGGTTTTGCTGCATCTCTTTTGTTCTCTCAGTTGGGCTATGAAGGAAAACAAAGGAGAACGGATCAAAATCAGTTCAGAGCTGATTCTTGCCTTAGAACCTCACTTAGCCAAAACTTGGATATGTTTTTGCAAGTCTAAGTGTAGTGTTTTGGTAAAGGAAGGAAGCTCAGCTAAATAGGCTTTATCAGAGTCTTTGAATTCTTAGGGAACTACAGATACACAGACATGCTCTATTAATATATTAACATTTAATACATTAAAGTTATAACATGTTGAAGTATCCCCCTTTATAAAATACAGGTGGCCGATAGCTACATGTTTGAGAGACACTTTTATTTCTATTCATGTATTTAAAGTCAGGACAAGACAGGGCTGTTTACATGCCACAAAGCAGAACAGAGCCTTCTCAGCCCTGAGTACTCTCCCCATATCCTGTGACACGGCCATACAACAGTGCTCGCCAGCTGGTATTCTCAAGAATAAAATAAAATCACTGTATGTGCTGGATCTGCTTTCCCTTCCTCAGCTTGCCAGCCGGTAATTATTCCTGTTACAAACTCTGCTGAAAAAAAGCCTTGCTTGGACTAAACGCAAAGTAGAAGAAAAAAAAATTCCAGATCTTCTAAGAAACCCATATCAAGCTGAGGATTTATCCATTACCATTCCTTTTGTTCCTAATCATATTTGCTTGTTCTCATTTTATGCTTAAAATTTTCAGTCTGATTTTTTGTAGTGAATGTGAAAATATGTGAAAATGTGAAAATATGAAAATAATATTTCAGCAATGGTCAAGTAATCTGACTTGCTATTGCCACCTGATCAACAGAAAAAGACATGTCTTCAGAGAGTCCTTCACCTTGCCTTTTTGCCCACATAATAGATACCCATTACTATCAGTCTCCAGCTATTCAGCCTAAATGTTCATGTTTCTATTTATATAATAAACTCTAAAATGGTGTTTTATAAATGATACCACATAAGAACTGCTGATACTAATTTGAAAAGGAGCTAGTAAGGTATGTGAAGAAAAAATAATGTTATAGAAAGATTTGGGCTTAAGCTTGGTTTCCATGTCTCTCGCTCAGAGGCAAGTGTACCCCTTCTGTGTTTTTATAGCACCCAGGATATTACTTGGCCTTTGGAAATTGTATTGCATAAGGCAGGTTATACAATGCAGAGCTGAACAGGTGTTTGGCTGGCTCTGCGAGAACTCAAGAACATAAAGAGATTTAATCTCTGTGTCATAATAAGTACACACTTGGAAAGGGGCCATAATGCCAAAAAGCAAAAAACAACTGAACAGGAGACAAGGGCTAACACCGGAGAAGAACAAACCCAAGTCTCTTGAGCAAGTCTAACAATAACGCAGGGATATCTATGCTTGCAGAAACATTATCAAATCCTGGTGCTGTTTTTGGATAAGGAATTTATTTCCCTTTCCCTATTCCATATTCCACTAGCCTCACAGGCCTATACTGATCAGCATCAAAGGTTTATCAGTGCTCTTCCCCTTTCTAAATTTTTTATTTAATTATAATTATTAATTCTGTTGGCATGAGATTCACTTTAAACTAAGCCTTTCAAACAAGCAAGCAAATATAATATGCTTATGAACAGAATTCTATAGCAAAATATGGTAGATTGTCTTTGAAGAGCAGTTTGCATGGGCTGCAGATTATTGTAGCAATACCCAAAGCTGTTAAATAATCTTTCTTATATTTAGTTTTTAATCTCAAGAATACATAAACTTGTCCCTAGCAGCCAGTGGATGTTTGTTCTGGCTTTGTAACTTCACAAGATCCTTCAGTTTCCCATTTTAACTGTGTGACATCACCAGGCTGAGGATAAGAGCTTTAAAAGGCACACTAAAAACTGAATTCATCCTTTTTTGTTTTCATATCATAGAAGAAAGGATCAGTGATGAAAGCCTCAATAAACACAGAATGTGTTTTTCTGCAATCTACAGGCAATTAAAGCAAATGATCACCACAGAAACCAAAAGGGGGATTCCATGGGAAGTCCCACAAGAACAACGTGCTGCCATCAGATTCAACAAATTACAATGAAGATCACAGGAAAATAACCTCACGGGAAGGAAACATATATTCTGCAATTGGATTCAGTGCAGATAAAGCTAAAAACAAACAAACAATTTTTAGCTATGTGCCTTAACACAACATTATATACATTATTTTAATTTTTTCTTCTTCCTTCTCTATGCTCCCACTGGAACCTGCATTTTTGGACACCTACACCAGGGGAGCTGCAAATGGAGATCAAGTTCTTGCCATGATGTTTTCACTGTTCATATGAGATCTCTTAGTCAGAGAGGATACTACTTTTCTCAAAAAATGAGCTTTGGAGTTGATGCTGCAAAAAAAAAATCTAACTTACAGATATTATGGATGCATCATCTCATCCATCTCAGAGTAATTTGGTATATTCTTACATATCTACATACATATGCACAATACATCAGCATCAAGACACAGATGCAGCAGCGCTCCTGACAGGACAAAGTCCCCAGCTCTGAATTCCCTGTGTAGGCGTTAGCTTTCAAAAAGGCCAGCTTGATGGATGGAATGTATTTTCCAATTAGTTCAAAGTAAAACCTGAAGGAAAATATGCCTTGTAAGCAGGTTCATATTCCTCATCTATCTGAAGTAAAAGCAGTCTATTTATGTCTAACCACGCAGTTGATATACCTGTGTTTATATGTTCTGTGAGAATGAACTATGTAGAAGCAATAGAGCAAACTGTGGACAAGGTTCTGGGTATTATCATACCAGACGTTTAATGGGACAGACTTCAAACAGTGCTCTTGCTTGCCTTCTTCCAACTAAAGTGTTCACTGCATCAATGAGATTGTACAATAAAGTTTCTTGTGCCCGTGCATAGCACGGGTTATCTCTTGCTAAACTGGTGTATATATGTATACACTTGGACCTAAACTGAAGGAAAATCATTTTAATTATTGTATACTTGTCAGAGTCAATTGTAGTTTTGTTCCCAGCATGCCAAAACACAAATCAGATGAAAAAAAATCTAAATAAGAAAGAAGTGCTCTTTTTGCAATAACATATTTTCCTTAAAAACATTGAATTAAAATGTTCAACGTTCAACTGAAATGTTCAGTTAAAAAAAAAATACCAGGAGCTGGTTTTGGATGGAGAAAAAATAAAGTTAAAGATATATATATTATAAGGTTACATACATGGTTAAATACATCCTCCTACTGTAGAACTTTACTCTTGTTTTTACTTTGAAGCCTAGTCCCATACTACACATACTGATCTTTCACTTTTTATTTAAATATTAGAAGAAACAAAACACAGCGGTGAGAAGGAGCATGAGTTGTTTCAGCACTAGAAAACATCACTAAGGAAGGGTTTAGAATCAACACAGATCTGTTAAGCCCATTCTTGATTTTTCCAGTAAGAGCAATCAAAGCCTGAGTTGACCTGTTCATAATAAAGGTAATAATGAACATAATTAATGTGAAGATAAGCGTCACAGTGAAGATCAGATCATTTGAAAATTTCCTGCCAGAAAACAAAACAAAAACAAACAAAAAAATACTTCTAAAATTGCTTTAAAAGATCTTAATAGACTAATGTGAAGAACTTACCTGCCTTCATGAAGCAACTTGGTTGCTTATTTTAAAACTACACATTAAAATGCCCTAGTTATTCTTCCTAGGATTCAACACTAGGATACTGAACTCTCCATAGCCCAAATCATTTTACTTGGCATTAGACCAAAAACATGACCCTGCTTGTACTGTGCATAAAGATTACCTCCCATTGAACAGATTTGTTCTCTTATGAAGAGAAAAAGGTCAGAGAGGGGTCAAAAAAACACCCATACACGGCCTTTTTCTCCCTGTTTTCCAGCCTGTGCATGCAACAGGCTACTCTTTACAGAAGGACTAATAAAGGCCTAGTGTCCCTTGATGGTATCTTTCAGTCACCGTGGCTTTGTACTAACAAAACACAACTCACTTCAGCAGAATTACCTTGACCCACCTTAATGAAAGCCAGAGAAGAGGCAGCTTTCTCTCCAGTGCCAAAAGAAGACCTACCAAACAGTTATCATTCAGATACAACAAATGGCCAAGGGCAAGCTGACTTTCCCATGAAACTTTTGCAGGCCCATTGAAACTTTGGTGACTTCCCAGAACAGATGAGCCCATCAAGGAGAGTCATCCTGCCAGAAGTCGCGACGCCCGCTCACCCCCTCGAAGACAAAGGTCACAACGCTACAGAAAAGGCTTTCATTGACAGGTCTCATGCAACGTTGCAAATAGCTGTGGTTAGAGATGTGCGTCGTAGGGGGAATGCTGCAGCTCCCCTCTTGCGGAACCAGTCCTGAGGTCTTACATTTGTCCACACCACTCTTTGATTTCCCTCTCTAAGAGATCCTGCCTTGGCTACCCTCTGACCGTAGAGCATAATCTTTGCTCTGATAGGCTTACTTAGCAGAACTTGCAAATGGACCTAAAACTGCAGGGGCTCATTTCTTCTGGAGTAATGACGTGGTATCCAGAACTGAACCACTTGTAACATGCTGCCACAGCTGCTTTTCCAGGTCACTCCCTCTTCAGCATTCTAATTACTTTAGGGAAGCAAAATATTTTTAAAACTTTATTGAAAATTAAATATTGGCTTTTTAGTTATGCAGAGTCCCCATCCTATTCTCACTACAGGAAGTTTCCACTCTTCTGTGTCTTGTTCTTGCTGATGCTGAGGAGCTTTTTGCTCCTTCTCAGGTTCTGGAAGTGTAACTCAGCTGAACTTTGGTCAGTTCCCTCTTCATTCCTACTCTTCCTTCACTAGCAGGAGCCATAAACTAAACAGTTAATTTTTTTTCTTCAGCGTGCAAGTCCCTCTTTCTTGCTCTCCTT